CTTTCTAAAGCCAGAACATTTATGGTTTTGCGGGCTGTAGCTGTACAGTTGATTGTTCTCCAGCCCAGCTAAATTATTTTCCTGTACTCCTACAGCAGAACATCTGCACTGTTGCATAACAAAAGTGCCTTGCTCGCTGTTCCTCAGTCTGTACACAGACTTTCCTAGTGAAGTGCTGCTTGCTCAAAATAAAGCTACAAAATTTTCAAACACGTAAGCAATGCAGACAGTGATGTATCAGTACTCAAGCCAGTGCTGGAACTAGAGCAGTGTAAAACTGAATACAATGTTCCTCCAGTCTGTTGCAATTTGTCTCTATTTTATTCCATTCTCCTAATAGAATTGGCTTTTTCTAATGGAAGAAGTCTTCAGATAGATCTTTGTCTCTCTGAAGAGACAAAGCTCATTCAAATGGCAAAATGCAAGTTCTAGCAGTAAAGGGCTGGCTCTAGCTGAAAAGGCAGAGTTAAAATTGTACAGTGATGAGTCTACTTAGAGCATTATGAGTTTCCAAAGTAATTCAGAAATAACCATGAATGCAAATGTAACTGCAAAAGTTTTTTCAGCGTTGGAAGAACAGTTCTAGCAAGGGTACAGAACAGTTTACTAATGGTAAGGAACCATTCTAACTTAGGTAAAAAGTATAATATTTAAATCACACATAATTCGTTACGATAGATTGATAAGAACTTTGTTTTGCTGTTTATCCTTTTACATCATTCATTATGATTATACTGGTAATCTTTTGTAAATATTATTTCAGGCATATGTGGCTTTGTACAAATGCAACACAAACCTGCAGAGTATAATGCCAAGTTGTCCTAGGAGATCATTTAACTATTAATTTCAAACCAGAGCTGCCTGTTCAGCAAAATACGCTGATGTACTATGTTTCTGCTAAATGTATGTACAGAATCAAATATATGCATGAATTTTTAATGCAGCATCAAAGTTGAAATTTTACCTGGAAGAATTTCAGAAGTTTCAAAACTGAGCAGCCAAAGGGTTATTAACTTTGAGTGTAGTGCTTATGGATACATGGTGAAATAAATCAGTTTTGTATATTATTAGTACAGATCAGTTTTGTTACATGAACACCTTTGTTATGCATGTTGTTACTGGGAAAGAAAAAGCAACTGTAATGATAGGTAAGGCAGGGCAGCCCTGGAAGTTTCTCTATCATGTTATGAGCCACAGATTAAGAGTTGGAGAATGACTTCACTTGTGTTCCATTGTATGATCACACAACACTGAGAAATAGAGTGTGTTCATCAGTGGTAATGGGAATTACTGGACATTTGACACCCCTATGGAGTAAGAGATACAGCAGCTTTGTACCACTGTATATATGTTATGATTTTTTAAGAGCTTATTTTAATGCAAATGCACAAAGAAATAAGGTTGCTATGGAAACACTAACTCTTAATTCCTTGATGTTTCCATGTAACACAACAAATGTGGTATTCCACTAAGCCTGTCTTTTGCATATAATTTTCAGTGCCTTTTCAGAGAAAGAATGATTTGGTAAACAACAAAGGGAATGGATGGAAAGAACTGAAATATAAGAAAGAATTCTGTAGGACATTAGGAGGTATCTATAGTTCCTTAAAAAAAAGGACAAAGAATTTGCTCAGTTTCTATTTCTTGAAAATTTCCTATCTAAATTATTTTCTGAGCTTGTTTCATTAAGTTTCTGTAAGATGAAAACCCATATTACTAATGCTCTTGGCTACTGGCTTTCAGGTGTATTAATTGAAAACCTGGAGACAGTGAAGTGAATTTTTACGGTCAACTCCTACATAATGCTGGAAAGAATTAAGTTACGTAGCCAGTAGAGATAAAATTGTATAACCATGCACCTATTATGTGCAGTTGATTCTTCAGACTTCACTGTGCCATTATCCTCTTTCCTTATTGCTTTCCCATTCTAGCAGTTTTTGAAAAATGGAACAATCATAGAATATGTCTGTCTAAAGATACTTGTTTGAGATTCCATTCTAAATTGCACTTACCTGGGGTGCAGAATTACCTAGTCCAGCCCTGGGCCCCATGCACATGGATAGTTGAGTACCTTACACCTCTGCAAAGAGATAGCTGAAAATGTTCCACATCTGCAAATGGGTCCACCTCTGCAGTGGGACAGACAACATCTGATTATGTATTTTTCAGTGGTTTATATTTTTTCACACAGCATAGCTCTGTAGGATCAATTATGCAGCTGCTAAATTGGAGACCTGCTTTAACCTAAAGCTATGTTAGGCCTTTTTTTGGTCCATATCTCCTAATACATGTACATATCAGTCAAGGTTTCCACCTTGGCAGATGCAGTTATCAAAAAAAATAATCTATTTATGTTGTATTTAAGCAACCTAAAACTTTTTCTAGTAGATTTTTGGTAATAACTCTGACCTTTCCAGAATATGATTAGGCAAGGAATTGTCTCAAATTCATTCCTAGGTTGTCTTACAAATTACCCATGCCAATACCAATACCTGCTCAAACATCTTTTTACGTACGTAATTTCAAATATTTGTTTGGTGTTGCTCCTTGTGGTTATCTAGTAAGATTTTATTCTTTCTTTGACTCTGGAAGAGCAAAGAAAGAATGGGATATTGACTGCTATCATATATGTAACATATACAGATTGATAGTCCTTTCTCCTGTGGTAAAGGTAGTATAAAATATTAGTTATTAGCGTTGTTTTAGTAAAGCTTTTAAAATTTAAAGCATAAGACTATGAATTTGGACAGCATCAGATCCTGTTTCCATTTTTTACTTTATTCTTTAAAGAAGACATTTGTAGTGATTCCTAATTTGAATTTAATTGTCCAAGAAATTATTGGTCCGTTGCTTTAGGCATTACAAAAATAACTACATAAGACAAAAATGTTATTGAATTCAATGGACATGGAAAGGTCAATAATTCTCATTAAATTTCTTATAAACCACATCTAGCATGAGCTAACTACCACTGAAATCCAGCTCCAAGTGCTGGATCTGGATCCGTAGTTGTCTTTGTTTCCACTTCTCTGGAAAATACTTGGAATCAAAAGTAATTACACCAAATACTAAAAAAAAAAAAAAAAAATCCTGATTATTTAAAAATAATATTTTCTCCTTTCATATGCCTATGGAGCTTTGTATGATTTGAGGATGATCAGCTGCAGTATCTTTCTGAGTAATGTTGGAGGTAAATGGAGGTGAATACACTGCAGATACTATAGTTGGTCATATAAAACCTGTCAGGTGCTTCATGCAAAATTATTTGATTATTCAAAGTTATTCAGCCTGTGCAAACACTCTTTTCTATTCTGACCTTAGTATTCTGCATTATTCCATTATTCTGGGAGTCATTTGTTAATGATGATATTTTAAAACAAAGCTATATTCCTAGAACAGGAATAACTGAGGTTTTATTAAAATTAAGGAAAAAATCCAAATATAGACTCAGATATTTTCTTTTTTTCGGATTATTTATTGTATAAAACTTCACAGCAAAAGATAGCTGAAAGAAAAATATTTCTTCAATTAAATAATAAATGGGGCTGGGGGGAGGGAGGATTAAAGATAGATTATACATTTTGGTCCAGTGAGAAGCATGGCTGTATGAATAAAAGACTACCATAGGCATCATGAGTGTTTCTGAAATACAGTTTTCCTCCTTCTTTATCGCTGAATAATAATTTATTACTTGCCTAAATCATCATCAGCTTTTACTGACCTCCCTTATATGCCTGTCACACCTTATTCTCTGCCTCCTTGTCCTGGAAACAGTATAAATGGGCCAGATACTGAACCTGTTCCCCAGACTTTCACTCTGAGGCCTGTAAGACTTGCAAGATTATAAATTATCATTTTTAATCTGGCATGCAGACAAAAGATAATGTGTCCAATAGAGTGGAATGTTTTTTTCAATGCTGTATGTTTATCAGGAGTGTGAATACTTAATGAGAATGTTTGCTGTTGTAGGTAATTCAGATTGTCAGTGCCATTGACAGGGATGATCCTAAAAATGGGCATTATTTCCTCTACAGTCTTCTTCCTGAAATGGTCAACAATCCAAATTTCACCATCAAGAAAAATGAAGGTAAATATGAAATATATGTAATGTGTATCTGAACAACTCAGTTTTGAATTGCTTTGTTGACGTCCAGTTACTTTACCAGTTTGTCCCTTGGGCAATTACAATGCAGATAATTTGTTTAATGGTGTCTTCATTATATCCCTTAAGCTATTTCTGATATCTTTACTGTAGATAAGTAGAAGGTAAAATGAATACTGAATTTAGAGCCAGAAGACAGTTCACTGTCTTAAATAAAATGAAAGGATGGATTTACTGCCTGTTGTAGTTCTATTAATTTGAAATGGCAGAGATATGCTGTAAAATAGAAATCTGAAACTATGTTCCTAAATAAATGTTGGTCTTATGTTGACTAGATATAGATGAGAGCATAAAATTAAGTATCTACTAAGTCCCCCAAATAAACGCATTTTAAGCCTGTTTGTTGTGTGTATAAAGGTTCCAAACTATTTTAGTGAGGTACTTTTACTAGAAAGAGAAATCTGCTAGATCAGCAAAGCCCAGAAGGGCACTTTGTATCACTATGCTTCAGAGCACTTCTGGAAGGGCATAATGTTATTCTGTGTTACCAGATAAGTGGAATTTCATGTGTGATGGAAAAAAAGACCCATTTAATATTGTTGAGCAGTAAACTTACACTGATCCTTTGGCATACCGATATATTTGAAGGTCATGTGAGAAAGAGCTAGGAACGATCACAAGAATGCTATAAATAGTACTTTATGTGCTAGTACTTACTTGAATATTCAGCAAAGTTTTTCCATCTGGTCTTTTTTTTTTTTTCTTTGATAGAACACTATCCTGTCGGGCATTTTAGCCAAAGGCAGTCTCTTATTTCTCTTATTTGAAAAGATAATGAAGGAAATCCCTATTTATTCTATTACTAATAGGAAGATGTATGTGCATGAGTGTAAAAGTAATACATGAAGTGTCAAATAAAGAGGAAATGCTGTTTGTGTTTTTTATTCTAGCTGTTCCAACCAAGAAGAATGATGGCACCATTTTCTTAAATGGTACTATGAAAACCTAAATGCTTAAATCTGCTTAAATATATCCTGAGTTTTTCTTTTCATTAGATGTTTTTCTCTTATAGCATTCACAAAGTGTGTCTCTACTTATATTTGTACTTTCACGTAGGAAATAAGTCTGTGTGTTTTCTGTACTTACAGGAGAAGATAAAACAAACCTCTTCAAAATATATTTCATAATCATCAGTAGAGTAACACAAATTGAATTAAGCATCCTAAATATGAGGTGATTTGCTTTGCACAGCATGAGAAAGTAAAAAAAGGTCTTAGTATTTCTTTTCATGTTTAAATACTTAGCTCACATCACTAATTAACCTTGTCCTTCCAATCTGTTACCCATTTAAGACCCACTCTTACTCCTAGTCACAGCCAATGGCAAAACGCCTCCTGATCCGAGTGGGAGTGAGGAACCTTCTATAGAACATGGTTTAGAAAAATAAGTCCAATTTTGTAACAAGATTGCCACTCAGTTTTACACAGTTTTTAATGCATTTGAATCAGATAAATGTGTAAATCTTCTTAAAACAACAACCAACTGAAATATCCTGAAATTAAAAATCCACTTGAAGAGACTTTTCTAATTTAATTTTTCAGTATCCCAGAATAAAATTCCAACTATGCTTTTATACATCCTTTTATATCAAGATTGCTCAGACGGGGATGAAGTCCATGGCTGATGCTAGAACATGTTCTCCCACAGGAAGCAAATATTCCTGTCAAAGCCAAAATCAGGGTATAATTTGGTTAAGGTGAGGTTTCGTGTCATTTAAACATCATAAATCTTTCCTAAATCCTTATTTAGTTATGCCACTTAAACAGTGAACTTGACCGTGACTTTGTCTTGCATATATCTGCTAGATAAGCATGAGTGATTATTCATGTTGAAAAAACTCCAGTATTCCTAAAAAACCTGAACTCTCAAGTAAAATTTCTCCTTGGTTGTACTAATGAGTGTCTGGGCTGTCCAAAAGCCAGTTTGGTATGGTTAATTAGAAGCAGTGTGAGAAAATGCTTACAACAAACCCTACTCTTATTTTGGAGAATTGTGTTTCTGAGGATCAGCTCAGTGCATAACCCACAGACTTGGAACGGAAAAACATTTCCTCATACTGGTGAGCAAAATCCTTGACACCTTCCTGACTGTGACCTCAGCCTCAACTTCGTCCCGTATTCTTGGCCCTGTCAAATTCTTCAAGACGGCAGAGACTGCCTTGATGGCTGTTCTCCTCTTATGGATATTATAAATGGATTGCATTTTCTCAGGAAACCTAATATAGACCTCAATCTTTTATTTGCTAGAACTAGTATTTTTTTCTTTATTTAATTGTTTTTTCATATCTTGCATTTCTCCAAAATTCTCTCAGATGCAGAGATAAACAAAAGTAGCCCTCCTCAAGAGCATTTGAGAAGTCATATTACTCTTTTGGATTCTTCTTTTGTGCTTTAGGGAACATTGTGGCATTTTGCAAATTACATCTGTATTTCACCAAGTAATGATGTTGTCTGATCTGGTGGCACTAGTATGCGAACAATGCAATTGGGCATCTGCCATGGGAAGAAAGCTGTGACGTTCTGTTTCTGTCCCTCATACTACAGAGTATATGTGTGTATTTGGGAATTTTCTTTCACTACATGGAACATAGCATAACCATGAATGAATTTGTTGCCTGCAGGCTAACTCTATTGTTTAAACTTTCCAGGTTACCCTAAGGCAAGTTCACATGATACTTCAGTAATTAACTGATACTTCAGTAATTAACTGTGCTGCCCAAATGTACTACAAATATTATGATTTGCTACATTGTTATTGCCAAATATGCTTAACTGAGTGACACAACAGTGTATCTTCATCAGAAATCACAAAAAAAAAAACCAAAACAAACTAAAAACAACACTTCTCCTAAGATTGTATTATGTATTATAGAAAATTTCCTGTGATCATAGCAGAATCTGTTCCTTGAAATGATCTGTTGGTATCCTTTACTTGTTTGGTCTCTTAAATTTGCACACTTACAATCCCTTCTGTAGCCAGGATGCCCAAAATTTTAGCGACTGTAGTGCCTTACTGATGTAAGTAATGTAAAAATGGAAATTCAGATTTCATCATACATCTCGCTGAAGGACTGTATATCATTTCTTGGAAATCTTTATTTTTCATATCTCTCAATCTGTTCTTTCTGTTCTTTTCCCAGCTCAAATATCTGTTACTGAGTAGTTTTTCTTAGACTTTGTGCCTTGGCTAGATGGGCAGCTATTGATAATCTGAAGTAAAGCAATTCTACTCTCTCAAACTAACACACAGAACATCGATCATTTAGATTGCCAGATGCATAAACCTTTATCCCTTCACAAGAGAAATACTAAATTATGTAATAAAAATATAAGAAGTTAATGCAACATGAGAATCATGTAATCTTGTGTGTGTCACTAGACCTGTGACTGCATGAGATAACAAATCCTTGAGTGCACAGACCCATACAGACTGACTGGTCCCCTACTTTTCACGTGTCGTTTGTGCTGGGTTTCTGCATAGGAGCAGAAATGGGAAAAAATGGAAGTAAATGTCTTGTGTAGTGTTTCTGACAAACTTCAAACCAGAAAAAAACCTAAAACTTCAGATGAAAATATCTGATGTCTAGACAGCTGTTGATACACTTCAGAACTGTCTTGTAGATCCTTAGCTGAATGGAATGAACCCTTCTGAAAAGCAGTAGGATCACAATAAACGACAAAAAAAAACTGACAGGAATTTAGACAACTGATAAGCTTTTTGTACTGTCATGGCATCAGTAAACTGAAATGAGACCTCTTGGAAATGGAATTAGCATTTGTTGGCAGTCTTTTTTCAGGTGAGTGGTCTTCACAAAGCATTACCTAAAATCTAATGCCAGTGCAGGGACTGTTTCCTGCATCCCAAACAATACTCTCACAGCAATACCTGTTTTCAGCATTGAATTCCTAACGTTCTTATGGTTTCCTTAGGTTGTTCAAGTGAGAACAGAATTTTGTGATCAAAGTGTTTTCACTGATGTAAACATTTTGATATGCTGCCAATGTAATTTTTACTTTCAAAAACTAGCAAATACATCTTTGCCTTAAAGAGACGTAAAGTTTTTCCCAAAAGATGTTTCCATTGCTCTTCCATTTTTGTTATGCCAAATCCTGTTTCCTAATGGAATAAGCTCCAAATCAAATGTTCTACAGTACTTTTGGATGCAGTAACTTCTGACAGAAGAAATGGTGTATCTCTACTGTGTAAATGTGATATTAGGTGCACTTACTAGGGCTTATGCAGTAGAAGCAATCCCAGGGTTGCTTGGAACGTGGGCAGGCCTTATCTTTGGGTTCAGAGAACCATCTTAGTAGTGTGCGTTTGCATTCAAGACTTACAAGCAATCAGCCTCCCCTCTCCTCAAAATATTCGGTGTCCATCTTGTGATTTGAGCTCTGAATTTGGGCCAAACGGATTTTAGTGAGTGCATAATAAAGAGAAGTGTTTTTTCTTTTTAAATTGAAGCATTATATATACTTCAGTGATGAAATGTTCTGTTGGTTCTCCATAATGAACTTAATATTTATTCTCAGCCATGTTTAGTCTCTTATACTTACGATACCTGTAATAGCTCCAAGAATGTTCATGTTTAAATGTCCATTGCTTTTGTTCTTTCCATCTAGCAAGTTTAATCTGTCATGTCCTCATTGTGCTGCCTTGAAAGTATGGGCACTGTGTCATGTATTTAAAAGAAAATAGCCTGGTATAATCACTTTAATCACTAACTGGCTTGCATGCCTTTGTATACTACTGCACATCTTATTTTAAAATATTTGCTATTTCTCATCACCTTTTTACCATTAATAAACAAATATTTCTAAACTATTTAGAAATAGCCAGAGAAGACAATTACATGCAACCTCTCTTTTAAATATCTCAAATAATAAAAACAACTGATCAGCACTACTTCATTTTTGAAAGTACTT